GTGTTTGTGTGCAAATGTATGAAATATAGTGATAAGTGTATATAGATCGTAATTAAGTGCAATTTTGTGAAGTAGAAACCAAAATTGAACAATAAGGAAAGGAAAAGTAATGAGGAAATGTGAATTGAAAAAGTGAGTAAGTGAAAAATTGAGAATGAATGAACCTAAAGGAATGCATCAGGTCGGGTATGGAAATGACTCCTAACTTTTTCGACTTTGATTTTCCCTTTGATTAGAAGGCAAAACTAGCGTGCTAAGGCTATCGAGTAGCCACACTCGCTCGTTTTCCTTATCGGAAGGGACACTCAAGCAAAATGAACCCTATAGCTAGTATGGGATGCAAAACCCTAAAAATGGAGGGAAAAGGGGTTTGAGAGGCATGCCCAATGATAAAACTAAAGAAAGTTGCATGATATGTGGTGAACAAGCAAATGATGCACTAATGAAAAGAAAGGAAAAAGCCTATTGGGTCTAGCGTTGGACTAGCCCATTCTATGAATTCCGACTAGCGTTGGACTAGTGGAAACGATGAAAGAAGCCACAACTAGCGTTGGACTAGTGTGGTGACGTACATTCATCCATTCCATTCATCCACACTATGGAAAGCAAGTAGACATACCAAATACTCATAAACACGTAGCACGTAACATTTAGCATGCTCGACTAGATGCAAGGCCCTAATAAAGCAAGTAACAAGTAACACATAGGCATGCAACTAAGCTAATGAACTTATTACATTCACTAACTAAAACAAAAGGGGAAAGAGAAAATGGATCAAATTGCTCGCCACAGCCCTATCTATTACAAGCCAAGAGGTGTACACATACCCCATTTAAAAGAATAATTTAATAAAAGCAAGAATGAATGAAATAATGGAACTAAAGAATGGTAATGAAAGCAAATTAGGCATGCGATTCACACTTAGCACATTGGATCACATAGGAGAGACAAAAGGGATAAAAGAAATTATACCCCTTGAAATGAAGCTCTAATGGAGTGAAATCAACTTATTTACCCTCCAAAATAAAAGAAATGGTCAAGGTACCAATTTATTTGAGAAAATTAAGAAAATAGGCAAACACAAGCTCACTTGGTCATAAAGCCCCTAAATTCATGTATGACGTGCAATTTAAACAAAGCATGGTAACTAATTGAAGCAAACAAACAATGAAAAGTGGTAAAGTTTGAGCTGCCAAGGACCAAATTGAAGAGATTATTCAATTGCTTGGGTTATAGTGGCATAAGGAGAAACCTAAGGGGTCAAAGTGCAATTCTTGGACATTTACATGCATGCATACGTAGGAAACAAAATTTCTGCAATGAACATCTTCTTGATATTAAAACAAACGCTGGCTGCAATTTCCATCTTATGCACAAATTCTAAGCAGCTTTGACTAACCCTTTCACCTATCCAAACTTTGGATGAAGCAACAAAACGAACAAGTTCCACATCTAACAATCAAAACATGGAAGGAAATTATGCAAAAGCTTATGAAACATTGATGCAAGATGAAAGAAGATTGCTACAATTTAGGAGCTTTGGCAAAGGGTGTGACCTTTCGGCAACAAAACTAGTTGTGATTCTCATTTTCAAACACAGGTCTCAAGTGTGCCGAACATAAGGCATGCTGCATTTTAGTTTCCTAACTCAATTTTTTCCAGTTTTTGACACATGATTTTGATTGAATACTCCCAACTCCAGGTTCACATCTTTACACTAAGCAATTAACTAACCAACCAAGCCAATCAAGATCAACAAAAATCAGATGGAAAGCCACGCCCAAAAAATCTAGAACATATGTGCGCAAGACTGGTTCAATGGTTAATTTCAGCAAGCACTTGGTCCTAATTTAAAGCTTTCAAGCCTCCCCAAGCACACACGTATATTGCATCTTCAACTCCAACCAACCATATAACTCACATGCGTTAAACCAAAGAGGAAAATCAAATCATTTCAGAAGGCTTAGATACCCAGAAATTATCAATCAAAAATGAAAATCTGTTTGCTGTTCAACTGTGAGACAGACTTCAGATTCAAAGTACTTCAGAAATAATTCATGTTCATGCTAAAATTTGACTCAAACAAACCAGAAAACAATGCCAATGAGCCAGAGTTTTAAATGAGGACAGGTAAGTTCACGGCCAACCTTCATACAAAATCAGTTAACGGCCAACCTTAGATTGCCGCAAGACTCTTCATTCATTTTTTTTAATCTTCAACCCAAATCACAAATCTTTACCATTATTGAACCACATCCCAACAATCAACATCATGAATTTTTAGGCTTCTAACAAGAAAACAATATGCAACACTTCCACATGTAAAAATCTATTCCAGAAATTCCAACTCTTCGGCCCCTTTAGCGTTAGAACAAAATGAAGAACTAGCCCAAGACAAAACAGGCATGATCGATAACTACCCAAACAAAACTGATTCTCACGACAAACAAACTCCAAAATCTTCAATCTCAACCTCCGACAACAAACCCAGAATGTCAATATAAACTCATCATATCAAAACAATGTCCAAACCTGCAACTCTCTACCGTGAAACTTGCGGACCAAAACTGAAAATTTATGAAGTCTAATGGAAAAGGAAAAACATACAAACTGCTGAGCTTGTTGGGAGATATGAAGCCAGAAAAGGATTACCTTTGTAGCCTATGAAGTTGAGATGTAGGAATCCAAATTTTGGGAGCTCAGAGTCTTCTGTCGTTCGCTGGAAAAATGCAGGCTGGAAGGTCGAATTTTTTGCTGCTCTTCACCTCCTTGCCCGTCGATTTCTGCCGCTTTTGCCTTTGTTGAGTTTCTATCAATTTCCTCTAGATTCAATCACCACTCCCATCCTATGTTCTCTCCCTTCTCACCTCTATCTCAGCCCATATTTCTCCCTCCCCTTTCTGTTCAGTCGTCACTCTTTTTTTTTCTTCTTTTGCCGTTTCTTTTGCTCTTTTTGTTCCGTCAATCTCTTCTCACCATCTCGGTTTTTCCTTAGCCGTTCCTAGCTGTTTTTTTTTTTCCTTGTGTTTTCCTTTTGCCGTCCAACTCCCTCTTTGATTTTTCAGCCGTTCTTTTCTACCCTTCCCCTTGCGGCTGTCCCTTTGGCTTTTATATGGGCAGCCTCCAACCCTAAAACTCCAGGATCTTCTGCTATATTTGCAACTAAGGATCTCCCCAAAGTTCACTTGCAAGCTGCGTTTTTGCAGCAGCTTGCATGCTGAGCGTTAGTTTTAGTTTTTTTTTTTAAACTTAATAAATACAGAATATAAATAATAATAATAATAATAACAAAATGACAAAATCATGTAACAATAATAAAAATGAAAACAAATAAATAAATAAATAAAAACAACAAAAATGTCCATTTTTCAAATTTTCTCCATTTTTCCCCTTTTTCCTTTTTTCTTTTCTTTTCTCAAAATAACTTAATAAAAATAACTAAAGTGCCAAAAGATTGAATTTGAACGTATTTTTGTGACCAATTTTCCCTTTTTCTCTTTTTTCATGATTTTTCCATTGTTTTCTTTTCTTTTTGAGAAATTCCATCCTAAAAGTTTAAAATAAAATAATGACATGAAAACTAAAAAAACTAAAAATGAATAAAACAAACATGACAAAAACAAAAACTAAGAAACAAAGAGTAAATGAACTTGAGCTAAAATTTGGTGTCTACACCTACTGTCAGCCACTGTTGACTGAAATACTATCCTCTTTTTTCTTCTCTCTCTCCCTCCCTCCTTCTCTCCTTCTCTCATCCTTTCCCCTTCTCTAGCTATCCCTTCTCTCTCCTCTACATCACCTTGCACTCCTAGCTCTCCCTTTCTCTTGTCCCCGCAACTTTTGATCATGCGATCGTCTCAAGCTGCATGACCGAAGGTCAAAGGAACTAAGGGTGGCAATCAGGTCAAGTCGCAAGTTGGCCAGTTGTGTTAAGATTTAGTATCCTAAATAACATGTCAACTTGACTGCGATTTGAAAAATTAAATTTGCCAACTTTCTTGGCCTGAAACCTTCTCGTTAATTTTGTGAGTTATTTGAACTGGACCTAAACAACCTATTTGATTAACTTTCTTTCTTTTTTCTTTGGCACTTTTGCCTTGAGAGAATGGTAGACTTTTCTACAATGGAGTTTCCATAAGGATAGACAGCCCAATCCTAGATTTTGTATATAGTGGTTGTGGTAATTTTTGGATTTTCCTTTTTGTACAAGAAAAAGATCATGAATAAAAACAAAATTATGACATTTTCACAAATAAAATATCTTATTTTTGCATAATATCCATGATTCCATCCTCAAATACTAATTTATAGCATTGGCTAGTTTTCTTTTGATTTATTTCATACCTCCAATTTATTTATTGATTATAAACTTACACATCATACAAGTCAAATGGGTCAACCTCTATTTGACCTGATTTGGATATTTTTGTGCTGCTAGTTATTCAGGTTTGACTTGATTTTTATCAGATCTCATGAAAAGTGAATCCATACCCGCTAATTTTGTATTAAATTTGAGTCATATTTTTGGGTTATGTCGAGAATTGTCACTCCTAATAGGGACAGAGAGGGGTGCAGGAGAGAGGGGAGAGGAGATTATTGAGGAAGGGGTAAGGAGGAGAGAGGGAGGAGAGAAGAGGAGAGGAAAGGAAAGGAGGAGGGGAAAGCGGAAGGAGAAGAGGGAGGGAAAGAAAAGAAAGAAAGGCACTAGTATTGGCATTGCGGAGGTGTTGACTAGCGATGGTGGAGTGAGGTGGGGAGGAGAAACAGAAAGAAGAAATGTAAGAAAGAAAAAAAAATTCGAATATTTTTGGTTATTTTAGAGTGTGTATTTTAAAATTTTGAAGTGTTTTTAAAGTTGCAGAAAAATTTCGCCATAAACAAACATGCTAAAAAATTACTTCTAAATGTGGTCAGGGTTTTAGTGGTTGAAAATTTGGGGGGGGGGAGTTGTCATGTGCTTTTTTCTTTTTTTTTGAATACAAAGGAGAGGCCACTGCCTTCTAACATGGTATTAAACGTGGGGTTGTGACCACAATCATATCTGCTCCTAGTAACTCCCTTAGTCCTTCCGGTGGCTCTTCTAATCTTCCACCTGTTGACTGTAAACTGATTGCTTCCTTGGCTAGCCAGTCTGCACATCGATTTCCTTCCCTCCAGATATGTTGCAGCTTGCAAGACCAATCTCTGCTCTTCATGCTCCTAATCTGTTTCACCAGATTGTGGTAAGGCGATGTGATCACTACCTCCTCTATTAACTCCAGACCCACTTTTGAGTCCGACTCTAAAATTACTTCTTTGTATCCTTTATCCCAAGCCAGCTGCAGTCCTTTAAGAATTCCCCATAGCTCAGCCGCTATGTTACTTGCTTTCCCTATACTCTCTGCAAATCCTCCTAACCATATTCCTGCCGTATCCCGAATGAGCCCACCAACTCCAGCTCTTCCGGGATTCCTTTCTGATGCACCATCGACGTTAACTTTGATCACTCCTTCGGGGGGTTTTGGTATTAAATGCCAACTAAATAAATTAAATGCAGAAAATAATTAACTAAAAGAAATAATTAAGAGAAAACTCTAGCCAAGGGTACACTTCAGAAATGGTTCATGCACTGATCATTGATGCAGAAATAATTCCAACACTAGTAATAGACCAGTTATAGTTGTCTCGCACGCGATAAACAACCAACCCTTCCTTAATTTCTCGATAGTTAAGGTACGACCGTTAACTATTTCTCTAACCCAAAAACAACCCTAGGTACGACCATAGGATTTAATTTCTAGATTGCATTAATAATTAGAAAGACCCAATCCTAACTAACAAACACGCTACGAGGGTTTGTTTAAATTAGATCACATGTTCCCCTGACATAAATCCAATTACGCCAGTTGCTACTGGGATAGAGATAACGAACAATTACGGATTCAATTATCCCTATTTAGCAAAATAGCCTATATGAACAATTAATTATTGCGCATTAATCAATCATACACAAGAGTTATAACAGTTAAAAGCAGGAAACATATGAATACCAATAAATGGAGGAAACAATTAAAATAAATTAGATCTCACAGAAATTATTGAACCAAATCTTCAGTTGTCCCCTTGACTAGCAGTAGGAGGTTAGTCCTCCATTAATGGAGAACAACCATGCGAAAAAGCAATCTGAAGCTTACAAAATTCTTCCTGGCCAAATCGGCCAAGGAAGGAAAGTAAAAAGTCGGCTACGGAGGAAAAGTCCCTGACCTCCGTACCTCTTTTTCGCTTTTCCAAGTCAAAACCAATTTAAAGACAAGCCTTCACTAAGTCTCCTAATCCTCTACGTTTTTGGGCCACTCAATGGGATGAAGGAAATTCCTTTTCTTTTAGGCTAGGCCCACCAGAGAGAATAATCAAATCCCCATCCGGATTCCTCACCTTAAAAATTGGTACTGGGGTACCAATTTTTCTAAACAATAGGAGTCCTATTATAGATAGCTTTCTTTAGCTCTTGAAATGGCCCCACTGCCTTTCAGCATTGAAGTCCGCTGCTTCATACAGCTTTGGAAACTTTCACGTGTGCAAATTATCCCGAGAATCCGTCCTTGAAAGCTGGAGTTAGGCGTGGGCACGCCAACCTATCATGGAGTCTGCTGGAATGACGATTTTCAGTACTTTTTCTTCACCACTTCCTGCAATTAATCCCAAATACCAAATATAAGTAGAATATATCAATTAAGATAATATTTGGCTAAAATCAAAGGGAAAAATAATTATAAATTTAGTACAAATTATGACTTATCAATAGTCTTCAAGTAAAAGAGATGCTTAAATTCCTTCCTTGCTCTCAGCTCCTTTGCTGAATTGAAAGATTAATGGACCAATTATCTGGTGTAATTTTCTTCGCATGGTCCAGTATCCTTCAACTCTTCCATCACCCTAAAACAACATGTAGACTAGCTAAGAGTCAGTAAAACTGAGAAAGACTGCTATAGGTCTGCAATCAAATTATTATGCTTCAAACACGGTAATATATCAATTCCAAGTTTTGCATATCAAGATAACTGTTAGCTATATTATTGGTAAGAAAGTTGTCTATTATTTCCTCTATAATCTCTTCGAGGCATTGTGGTATGAAGCCATTCTCTGATGATAATTGTGCTAGATCGAGGTTTAGTCATCAAGGATAATAAAAGCTTCATACTATCAATCTTGTAACTCTTTGGAGACCCTTATTTCCAATTCAATAATTCTCAGTAAAGTTCATCAAGAGTAATTTTGGTTCTGGAACTTGAGAGCTACTAGACAAGGAAAGAAGTTCTATGACAAGCAGCATTGGGATGGGGAAATTCGTCTATTACTGTATATGAAAGTTCCAGGTGGAATGACAAAGGAAGAGCAAGAAAAGAATACCAAGCACCTTGGAGAGGCCAGGAGTAAAACTTGATCAATCAAGTTACATTCATGGTTCGCCATATCGGCCGATACCGATACGTATCGGCCGAGTCGTATCTAGAACGGAAGGGACCGGTACGATACCGATCCTCGAATCGCGGATATCACCATATCCGCGACGACTCGCGCTGACTCGGCCGATATTGACCGATTCGAATCCGTGATACATGATATCGGTCGATATATCCGAGTCAACTCGGAGTCGACTCTGATATTTTTAAATTATGTCTTTTTCAGTATTTTTTAATTTTAGTAATTTTTTCAAAATTTTTGGAAACTTTAATGTGTTATAATGTTCATATCACCCGATATTCAACCGATATACCGCAACGGATGTGGAACAACTGAGACCGCGACGCAACCGCGACCCGCGATGGCGAACCATGGTTACATTCCTTATCTCACTTAATTTCCTGCATGACTAGAGCAAAACAAGTTTGCAGTTAATGCAACTGAGGAGAAATTAGATATTTAACAGTTTCAAGAGAATTATTACCTCATGGGGATGCAACAAAAGCTAAAGCTAACTCAAACTGGGAAAGTGTTAAAACACCATAAGGGATCTCGGGCTCTGGTTTCTTGAGCTCAACGGAAGCAAATGAGAGCCTTATCCTAGAATTGTTCCATTCAACTGCAAAACAGGATACTCAAACTCAGTAAAGCATGTTGCCAATTAAGTGACTTTCTATTCTGTCAATCTTGCAACAAGCTTAACCTACAAGAGTAAGCAAGTAATAAAACTTGAGAGCATATATTCTCATGTCTTGATATACAAATTATAGTATTTGTGATTCCACATGACATTGGTGCTAGAATGCAAAAAATAAGCATTTTCAAGAGGTAAAAGTTGCCATTAAAGCATTGTCAACTTGGTAATTTTTGTTTAGGTAATCAAGAAGTAATTTTAATCAGCAAAGTGATGTTTTGTAAAACCTGTACGAAGTGCAGTTGGGAATATTAGAGAAAATTTGGAAGTTCATGAAATTGATAATACCAGAAATTGTTGCTAAGATCAGGTATGTGAGAAATCCCTGACCACTGGAAGTTGAAGACGCTCTGAGCAGAGCATCCTTCCTCTAACAAAGGCCAGCCATTAATTGACAGTGATCTTAGCTTGGTGAGGCGTCTCGTGACAGCCATGGATGGAATATATCGAAGCTTTTCACAACCTGACACAATTAATTGTTCAAGTGACTCAAGATTCCCAAACCAATCTGGCAAAGCTTCTATTCCAAAGTCATGTAGACTAAGTTCTGTAAGGCCAGTGAGGTCTTGGAGCTGCTCTGGCAAGTAATCCAGATGAGGCCCTCCAAACAATGCTAGTTCACGAAGAGATGATGAAGCTAGTTCTAACCAGTCAAATTCAACTGTATCTGAGAGCGGACCAATGGACAATTCCCTTAAGCTGGTAAGGAAACCAAAGCCTCTGGGCATAGTTAACAAATTGGGACACTTGTGTAGCAATAATACGGAGAGAGAAGGCATTCGTTCCAAATAAACAGGAAAGCTGGAAAGCCTGGGGCAATCGTACACAGTCAACACCCTGAGGGATTTGCATGACTCTAGCATTTCACCTGGTAGATCTATTAACCTGTCACAGTGACAAATTCTCACATTTTGGAGAGAAGTGACCCTTTGCTGTACATTTGGAAACATCATCAAACTTTGGAAAGAAGTGAGCTGTGCTAGTGCACTAGGAAATGGAAATGCCTCGAGACTTGGACATCCATCTATTGACAAGGTTTGCAGAGACCGAAACTCATACAAGTCTTCTGGCAACTCCCTTAGATTTTCACAATCTTTGATATCCAACTCTCTAAGAGAAGTGCCACAGCCCCGCACACACTTTAAATTAGGACAAGTTTGCAATCTTAGAGACTGTAAATTTTTATTGTTATGCACTAGAAGATTTGAAACACAAGTGAGGTCATCCATACCTGTGATCGAGAGGGTCAACAGACTGGTTACTTTACTAAGAATATTTTGTACAGGCAAAAACTGGTAACTATTTTTGACTGTCAGTTTCTTAAGACTCGGGAAATGACTTGGAGCTGTCGTCAATTGGGTGCAATTGCTAATAGTCAAAGTCTCAAGGATGGGAAAGACCTCAACTTGTTCAAATCCTACTGGCTTTGCTGTAGGTTCCATCCACTCAATCAGGTTCCTCATATTGCCTAGATAAAGATTTTTCAGGGCGGCAAACAGATTTCTTGGGCCTTGACTGGCAGTGCTGTAGCTTCCTAATGTGCTGTGATCACTAATGCCATAGAATGAAAGCCCAATGCTTCTCACAGTTTGCAGTGCAAGCAATTTGAGGTCTTGAAGAAGGGGCAGTTGGCCAAGAGCAGGAATTTCTGTACATCTTCTGCAATCCGTCAAGCACAATCTTGTTAATTTGAAGCTTGCTGATAAATTCATGAACCATGATGGAAAATGATCGCCAATGTAATTTTCAATTACTAACACCTGCAGATTTGGGTGGGGTTGGAGGCCTTCAAGCACATTTTCATCATCACTGTCACTGTCTCGAGTTTTACCCCACTTAAAATGCAACTCATGCAGATTTAACTTTCCAAATAGGTTTGCCTGTTGAGCTCCTTCTGTACCATTTACTAGTTCAAGATTGCGTATTTCCAGTCCACCTCTAAGGTTTTCCAAGCATCCTAGCTCTTCAATATGACGACCCTTCTCTTCACCAACATTAAAGAACTTCAGAGTTTGAAGACAAGTTAAAAGTCCCATGTGCTTTGGCATAAGAAATTTGGCATCATTATAATAGCAGAGATGTCTTAAGTTGATCAAACTGCTCATCCCTTCTGGAAGATCTTTTAGAGCTGGGCATGAATACATCCTCAGTGTCTGCAGATTATAAAGCCTTAAAAGACATTCTAGCAGAGTTTTTATTCTAGAATCTGAAAGGTCAAGATATCTCAAATGTATTAGTTTGCCGGTGGACGTTGGCACCACTTCAATCTTTGCTCGAGACAGATTTAAAACATGCAAATACTTGAACTTTGATAGCATATCACTAGATATACTACTCCCCAAAAACAATGTACGAAGTGATCTTGACATGTCTTTTGAGATTTTACTTGTTTTTCCTTCTATGGAGTCTAATACAAGGTGGCTAACTTCAGAACTGTTGTCTGCTATACCATTCTCCAAATCAATGCATTTAGACCTCCAAAATGATTCTGCTAGATCATGCACAAGATCATGCATTCTGCCACATATAATTTCCTCCTTTCTTACCTCTTGAATCAAGGAACTCTGCAACAAAATTGAAAAATACTTGTGTCCTATTTCCTCCATTACTGTTTGATTGTTGAGATTTGACTCAAGAAAACCTTCTGCCATCCAAAGCTGGATTATCTGCTCCCTCTCTATGTCACAATCCTTACCAAATATAGAACAATATACAAAACACTTTTTAATGGCTAGCGATGGCAAATTATCAAAGCTCAACTTAAGTATTTGCAAGACACTATTTTCATCTCCAGTCAAACTCATGATTCCTTTCTCCACAGCTGAGAGCCACTCCTCTTTTCTCTTGATACGTAACAAACCACCAATGACACTAGCAGCTAGTGGTAGGCCACCACACTTGTTTGTGAGTTTCTTTCTTATCACTCGCAATTCTTCTGGTTTTTCTCCACTTGGAACTGCCGTTTTTTGTAGTATGGACCAACAATCTTCATCAGATAGCTTGTCTAATGAATAAGGAGGATGTGTAGCCACATTGGATGCTACTTGGAACTGCCGGGTAGTCACAATGCACCAATTTCCATTGGTTGTGCTGATTCCAACGAATGACTGGAAAAATTCATCCCACAAGGTGGATACTTCGTTCCACACATCATCGAGTACAATAAGAAATTCTTTTCGAATTTCTTGGACAAAAACATCCCTATTGGCTACTTCGACTTTTCTACTTGTCAATGATTCCAAGATTAGCTTAAATAGCCGTGTAACTTCAAAATTTTCAGACACACATATCCAGATCTTTTTATCAAAGTGTTTGTCAACTTGTTGATCATTAAACACTAACTGTGCCAAAGTTGTTTTTCCTAATCCACCCATGCCCGTGATGGGAATAACAGAAACAACTTTTTCAGAAGAGCCTAACAATATCTCCACTATATTTGATGCATCATTGGCTCTTCCTACAATATTTTGACCTACAATGGAGTCTTTCTCTCTAGTTATTAGGCCTCCAGAAATAGCAGAAATTTCAGATGCAGTTGCACCATTTCCCATCTGGGACACAAGTCCAAAGCTAATTGCTTCTTCATTAATCATTTTCAACTTCAGGTTAATGTCCCTGATCTCCCTGGCCATTCTCCAACGAAAACTAACAGGCTTAGAGAGGAAGAAGAAGCGTACCTTTCCCATGAACTGATCTCTAATTTCCATCCGTCGACATAGATTATGATAGTTGAAACTCGTTCAAGCCTCTTCAGCCATAGTTGCACTGCCCGTTGCATTGGTTTCTTCTCCTCAGCATCGGCCAAGAAAGCCAGGATCATGGCTGCTGAATCTTTAAATCTCTCCAGATCATTCTTGAATCCAATCACCATCCCAACTTGGTCAGTCGCAAGGGAAATTGCCTTCTCTAAAGTAAGCGTTATCGTGGCACCAACGAGTGCATCAGCCATCCTGGTTCCTTGTCTAGTTCTTTTAGGCGATTGTTTTGGGCTTAGGTTCTGGGGTAAATATTTTCGGCACTACAATATACAAACTCTATACATTCCTTGTAGATGGTTATATAACTTTCATGTTTTTTTTTACTTGTTTGACTAGTATATTTCTGCTTCGCCATACTGCTCTTTCTTCTGAATTTAAAACAATTCATGATTGGGATATAAAAACTAACAGAAATAATTTTTTGAAGAAGCAAATATACGTGGAGCAGTTAGTCAACTATTGAACCACATCTATGTTTTACACGTATCTATGTCGATGTAATCCTTTATCTGACAATTGGAGGGTTTGAATACAACATCATTGAGATAATGCCACATGAACTAGGTAAGTATACATGTTTGAATGTGTTATTCTTGGGCTGTAAGTGTATATGATACATAGAAAAGAATGCATTTTCTGATACAGAATATTTCAAATTCTGTCACATTGTTACAACTTTTTCTGTTTTGTTACTGCAGAGTCCTTTGATCTGTTTTTTGTCTCTCTTTGTATCAGAAGAAATTTGTACTTGTAGTAGATTTAGTATGCTATTAATAAAATTTGTCTCTCTTTGTATCAGAAGAAAAAAAAAATGTAGTTAATTAAGGAAAAGTGTTTGCATAAAAGGGAAGGAGGACATTAATTGCTTGTGTATTCACATGATAAATTGATTGTGATTAAAGTGTATTAACAAGTGTCTATTAGATATTGGTTAAAAAAATCCTCTAATTATATGACCTTTTTATCTTGCATTCATCAAAATTTAAGAAAGTACTTAAGTATACATTTATATCTCCCAAATGTTATCATGATACTAGTAGTTGACACGGGCGTGGTGGGAGTAGGCTCCTCTCCATTACCCCGCTCTCCAATTTCCCCCTATGCATCTTTGGATGATAGACACATATATAAAGTAGTATCAATCAACGATTGAGATTGTCTTTTCTTAACCATGTGTGCTTAATCTTTTGATCTGTTTGATAACATAAAAAAGATTGAACTTTTTTCATACATTCAGATGTTTTGGATATTTAATAAATCAAAATTCATTTTCTGAACTTGTTAAGTAGTGCTTAATTTGTATGTATTTTTTTTCAGATTCAGTTGTATCAAACAGAGCCTATGCGTGGAATATTCAGAAACATATAACAAAATGATCCATGTCCATCTGTGGATGTTAGCAAAAAAACTATTAAGTTTTAGGCTACTGGAAACAGCATGTAGGGAAAGAGTGAAACCACAACTATTTGCCGCGTGCTTGTTCTCACACACACACACACACTATATATATATATTTTTTTATGTATATATATACACTATCAAGAAATTCAGTGGTTTTAGTCTTATATCTTCAAAGATGATTTCCATTCAAGAGCCTATGGAACTGATTAATCAAACTATTCAACATGAATATTTAAACTACAATGGATAGGAAAGGATTGACCGTACAATCGTTCTCACAGAAAATCAGTTTATACAAGAGTTGGATAGTTGGGTACAATTATTGACTCTATTGTTATAGTTTTTTTTTTGGAGTAGTATTTGGGACACAATACTATTTTCTTTTGGAACAAAACTGATAGAGCAACTATTGGGCACCTTTTGCGCTGTTATTTTGTCATAATTTTGGCTACTTACTGTGCTAAGTGTTGAGATTTTGTTCATATTTGATATTTGTGTAAATTGTAGGTGGTTGGTGTCAAAAGTGCTCTCTCAAGGTAAATTTTCAGAAGACTCTTTATTTTATGGCGTGCCCACGGCAGAAACGGAGGAGATACACCTAAAAGACGGACTCGCGGGATTGGTAGCAAAAGTGGGCAATTAGGAAATCAAAAAGGCTCGTGGGCCGCGGAGGCGCAGAGGATAAAAACTCTAATCCTACAAAGCTTTAAGAACTCTGAAGCTTTTTTTTTTCGGCGGCCATTTTGGATGAATTGGCTAGAAAAGCCAGATTCACGTGGGATTGATAGATTAGTTTTTGTTTTCTCCTGTCAGACGATTTACTCTTGGCTTTTGGCTTTTGTATGATTGGCTATTAGACCTTTTGCTTTTTACTTTTCGCTCCAGTACGAATACGAAACCCCAAAAAAGAGAAGCAAGTCTTTTCGTCTGTTCCTTCGTTAATTCGTCTTTCCCAATTCTTTGGCAATTGTGTGGATGGAATCAATCAAATCATGCGAGAGTGCCACAATGAGGAGCGGTTAGATTTCTCCTCTACTCAAGGATTAATGTGAAGGCGCGGTCCATAACATATGTGAGATCTAATTGAATTTTTATTATTTCTTCTAATTTGTTACTATTCGTGCGTTTCCTGGATTAATTGTTCATGCATATTTTATTAATTGAGTATCAATGGCCGGATATTTAATTTAATCTAATAGCCTACGGTCACGTTAATTAAATTGAATCCATAATTATTCGTTTAGTTGATAACTAGTGGCAACCACCATAATTGGTTTTATGTTGGGAAAATGTAAAATTTAGTTTAAATAAACCCTCTTAGCGTGTTTATTGGTTAGGGTTGAGTTTTTCTAACTTTAATGCAACTGGATAATTAAATTCTTACAATCGTACCTAGAGTTGTTTTTTGGTTAGAGAAGCAGTCAATGGGCATACCTGGATTGTCGAAAAAGTAAGGAAAACCTAGCTGTCAGAACTTGTTAATGGTTATAATCAACCTAGTAACAAATGAATGAAATATCTTTACATCGATAATCATTTAATTAGACCGTACCCGAAAAGTTAATCTTTTGGGTAGAATTTTACTAATTGCTATTTTCAGTGAATTGTCCTTTGTGAATTAGCTTTTGAATTTTGTTTATTCTACTTTCATTTTCATTCCATTAAATATCCCACAATTTTATTCTATTCACTTGGAAAGAAACAATTTCCTATCCGTTTTCTGTGGAATCGACTCTACTTGCCATTGTATGTAAATTTAATATTTTTATAAACAATTTTGGTATATCGGATCAAACAAACTCTTTGGGAATAGGGTGAATCAAGTAACCCATTGCATATCTAGAGTCCCCGCTCCGATACTCAAATTCGTTCTATAATTAATTGTGGTGTCAACTAGGATTTTTTAGTAATTATTATTATATAGGTTCGACACTTATCAATTTTTGGCGGTGTTGTCGGGGAACGGTATTTTGGCTAATTTTATTTCTTTCTAAGTGTTTTCTTTCGAGTTTGTTTGGCATTTTTCTAGTTTATACCTCGTTCTTCTCGTACACGCGAATTAATTTTTGACTCCGAAGTAGAGAAGACTGTACGCCGAACTAGGAAAGAGACTAGACTGCTCAGAGAGGAGCAATCTAGCACTGCATCTCAGAGATTGGATCCAGAAGTTGAGTCAACAGATTCGAATGGTGATAATTCAAGTGACTCAGACCAAGAGGACATTCCTATGGCAAATGCAAGAACACTAAGGGAGTTGGCTACTCTAAAATTGACCTAGCAGCCTTTGTGCATTACATTTTCAACTCTAGCAGAGAATACTTCATTCGAACTGAAGTCGGGGTTAATTCACCTCTTACTCTCAGTCCATAGCCTTTCGGAGAAGGAACCCCATAAACATATCCAAGAGTTTGATGTGGTATGTTCTATTATGAAACCTTTAGGGATTACTGAAGAGCAGATCAAACTTAGAGAATTCCCTTTCTCCCTCAAGGATGCAGCAAAAGATTGGTTATACTACCAGTCTGCGGGTAGTATCATGATATGGGCCCAATTGAAAAAAAAAAATTTCCCTGCATCCCGGACTGCGAGTTTGAGAAAAGAGATATGCAACATTAAGCAGTATCCCGGTGAGTCCCTATATGATTATTGAGAAATGTTCAATAAGTTGTATACTAGATGCCCACAGTATCAAATTAGTGAACAACTGTTGATCCAATATTTCTATGAGGGAGTTCAGTCATCAGACAGAAGTATCATTGATGCTGCGAGTGGAGGAGTATTGGCAAATAAGACACCGAGGGTAGCATGGCTGCTTATTGAAGCTATGGTGAAAAATTCTCAACAATTTGGCTTCCGCGAGAGTAATCCTACCGTAGGGTTAACGAGATAGAGACGTCGTCCATTCAGCAGCAGTTATCGGAGTTAACATCTTTTGTTCAGCAATTAGCTGTAGGAAATACGCATCAAGCAAAGGTCTGCGAAATTTGCATAAACATGGGTCACCCCAATGACTCATGTCCTATTTTGCAAGAGAATAGGGCTGAACAAGTGAATATGGCTGGAGGCGTGTCCACGCCCCGTAAACAGTATGATTTATACTTGAACACATACAATCCAGGTTAGAGAGACCACCCCAACTTTAGCTACGGGAACAGGCCATAGAATTCATTCTCAAACCGTCCACCAGGATTTCAGCAACCATGGCAACCAAATCCTCAACCTTCGTCCTCCAATTCAGGAAGCTCTCTGGAGGATATTGTCAAGAGTATGACCACGAGCACTACTCAGCTCCAGTAGGAAACTAGATCTTTGGTCACGAGTACTGTTCAGTTCTAGCAGCAAACTAGATTGGGCATGAAAAATCTAGAAACTCAAATAAGCCACATAGTGACTGCAATTAATCGCTTAGAGTCCCAAATTTTTGAAAAATTGCCATCACAATTCGAGGGAAACCCCAAGAATGTGAGTACCATGACACTGAGGAGTGGTAAGGAAGTAGCGGGGTCTAAGGCCATGAACCTAAAGAGCAAAAGTGAAGAAGAGATCGAGAAGAAGATGGAAGAAGAAGGACGCATTCGTGGAGACCCTGAGGTAACTCTTACTCCATCAATACCCATTAAATCTAATTTACCTCCTTTTTTCATGCAGATTGGAGAAGACAAAGAAGGCGGAGAAAGAAAAAGAGATCCTGGACGTATTTCGAAAAGTAGAAATCAGCATTCCCTTGTTGGAGGCAATTAAGCAGGTACTGAAATACGTGAAATTTTTCAAGGATTTATGCACCCACAAG